GGGGCGCACCGGGCAGCGGAGGCGCACGGGGCAGCGGTGGCACATGGGGCAGCAGCGCGGCGACGCCAGGCAGCAACGGCGCACGAGGCAGGGGCAGCACGCGAGCAGCGGTGGTGGCGCACGCGAGGAAGTGCGAAGGGCTTCGCGCGCGGTAGGGCGAACGCGGGGGGCAACGCGAGCGCACGACGCAGCGCGAGCGCACGAGGCAGGGCAGCGTGCGGTGCACGGGCAGCAGCGGCGCACAAGGTAGCGGGAAGGGCGCGCGGAGGGCAACGCGCAGGGCGGCGGGAAGGGCGCGTGCAGGGCAGCGCGTACGGGACAGCTAGGGGCGCGCGCGGCAGCGCGAGGCATGCAAAAGGCAGCGCCCGAGGGGCAGCGTGGGGCAGACCTAACCTAGGTATGGCAGTAGGTACGTCAGTAGGTACAGCAATTGGACCTAACCTAGCCTCTGATACCATGTTAAGGTAATAGGCAAAAGAATGTTTGACCATGAGGAAGGAATTGTACAAGTACTAACCCTATATGGGCTACCCCACTGCAGCATATAACTAATAAATATGTATATAGTTTGACACATTGTGCTCATATTCAACCTTCGATTATTTCACATTTGCATGCGCTCAATCTTACACAACTCTCTACGAGTCCAATTCTAGCTACACTACGGTCCTAAAATGCTTCCGCAAAGCCATCAATGTCCCATCTCAACAATTCAAGACCCTGTAGTGCCGCAGAGCATGGGACCTCGTTTCCCTACCGTAATTGAAAGTAAAACAACAAGCGTGAATAAAACAATGTCGTAAATATGTTGCATTAACTATGAAGTTAGTTTTTTTAATGCACTAAACTAGGTGACAAAAATAAAATCCCACGCAACCAACCTTTTTGGGGAATATGGTACTATTCATTTGCTATGCTTGTATTTCTTTTAACATTATATTTACGTATAGCAGCTCGATAATTTCGTTCCTCTTGGCTCAGTTTTTTTCCGATTTTGAACATATATCTTGTACAAATCGTCAAGATTCGCTACAATCGATGCTCATCCTTATCGCAGAAGAATGAGGTACAATGATCACGCGTGAACGTTTTTGCGGAAGCCGACATCTACAAGTCATAAACAACAAGGTTTGCTCGCGTTCGTCGTCAGAATTGTTGACTGAGTTACAGAAGCATTTTTAGTTTCCATATATTCATATTTTTGCTGGTCGGGACACAAGAGTGTCAGTAGAGCTGCACTGTGAGATCCCCGATTGATCCTTGGGGGGTTACAGGCATGTTAGCCTTGGGGGTTATGGGCGCACTGACCCGCTACTGAAACAAGCCCTTTTATCCCAATGGTCTAGTGGTTGGGATTCTGACATGGTATCAGAGCGGTCTCGGGTTCGAATCCCGGTGTATGCATATGCAGGCCGTTGCCGTTGTGCTCAGTCCTAGGCCTCCCAGTGTGGGGGGGTGTCAGTAGAGCTGCACTGTGAGATCCCCGATTGATCCTTGGGGTGTTACGGGCATGTTAGCCTGGGGGGTTATGGGCGCACTGACCCGCTACTGAAACAAGCCCTTTTATCCCAATGGTCTAGTGGTTGGGATTCTGACAAAGAGAAGGTCAACGAAACACCAAAACACGTTTCAGTGGGATGCTGCTCGACTACCTGGTGTTCTCGTAATGAGCACCGATTGTAGTACCACCGTGCAAGGACGGTTTCTGGCAGTTTTGGAAGGTTCCTCACGTGTGGTCCATTCTGCATCATAGGAAAGTTGGGGGGATGCTGTACAGTCATATCTACTAGCCCAGCATTGTGGGCGACGATAATAAAAAAGAGCCATGGCGATGATCTGGTGCAACACTTGGATTGGGAGAGACATGCGGCACCCAACTGCACCAAACTGAGACGCCACAGGGGAATGAAGATGCGCCAAGTGTTATGGAATCGACACGCCAGGATTCCATTTCTGAAGGGTACTTTCCACACCGTACGCGGAAGGAGTCGGTCACACCAATCTGGTGTTTGGCTCCTGTGCAAAGCACATAACACTAATAGTGAACGAGGCTAGCGGTGGTGTGAAATTTTTTTGAAGATGATAGCGCGTATGGCAGCGGAGGTGGCGGTGTGGATGGGGCTTGCGGGCATGCTGGCGGGGCTGGTGGCGTGGAGGGTGCAGAAGGGCTTCGACGACAATCGCAAGGCGGAGCTCGACACCTGGTGCGCCGGTCGCACGCGCCCGCTGCAGCAGCAGTTCATGTCCGCGGCCGACCACTTTAAGGTAGCAGACGGTCGACACGCGGTAGATCGACGACCATCTGGCACGTGTAGTACTACTAGTAGGCGAAAGGTATGGTGTGCCGTGTGACATTCCTAGCAGTTCATGTCCGTGGCCAACCACGTGTAGGTACCTGCATTGCATCACATCACGTCGCTTCGGCTTCATTGCATCGCGTCGCGTCGCTTCGGCTCATTGCAACGCGTCGCATCGCTTCGGCTTCATTGCATCGCGTCGCGTCGCTTCGGCTCATTGCATCGCGTCGCGTCGCTTTGGCTCATTGCATCGCGTCGCGTCGCTTCGGCTCATTGCATTGCGTCGCGTCGCTTCGGCTTCATTGCACTGCGTCGCGTCGCTTCGGCTTCATTGCATTGCGTTGCACACGTTCGGTGCGTAGTCAGTGACGAAGGTTCATTTTCGCGCCGCGCGATAGTAGAATCATTCCTTGGCTTCCTCGTTCTCTCCGCGGTTGCTCTCGCGCGCTCAGCGTTCCCGTCCTTCCACCGTTTGCTCCTCGCACTGCCTTGGAAAGCATGACGTGATCTCTACCGTCATTCTCGAAATGGGTTTCGACTCATGGCGCGGATTTGTTTTTGGTGATTTTAGTTTGTCGGGGGTAGGATAACAAGAAAGCTATAAAGACAGATAGTTGTAGTAACGTTTCAACTAATGTACACCTCTGGTAAAAATGTGTTGTTTTCCAGTATAAAACCTTCGTCGTCGCAACTCAAGAGTCGGGTGGGTAAAAGGAAATCACTAGATTAACAAAGATCCAGGGAAGGGGCAATCGGGGTGGTGGGAAGGTGGTTGTGCATTTCTCATGCTCCTCCATTTCCGCCCCCATGATTCTTCACATACTCCCCACCATGCAGCCCCTAATGTGTCAACCCATGCGCCCCCCCATGCATTCCCATGCGTGCATCAGGCGCCCCCTGTGACACCATCACCCTCTGCCACCATCACCCTGTGACATGCTTCCGTGCCTCGTTGCACCACCACCGCTCCTCACTCACCTAGCTCATCTCCACAAGTATAACCCACCCATCCATCCCCACCCCACTCCACCCATCCCAAACCACCCACACATGCGTGCAGGCGGTGGAGGGGTTGGTGATGGTGTTTGGGAGGATACAAAAGGACCCATGGGGGGCGCACAACAACTTGACTCAGCAGCTCTTTGCCAACTACATTCTCCGCACGCAGGCCGCCCGCCCCTGGGTGCACGCCATTGCCTACGGAGCCTTTGTTAACGGCTGTGACAGGTGTGCCTCCCCCCCCTCCCCCCGCCCTCAAACCTGCTGCTGCTGCTGCCTTCACTCTCGCCTTCACACTTCCGTCACCTTCTTCCCATGCGCCACCTCTTGCCTCCCGCGTGCCCTCCCTCGCTCCCGTCCCCCGTTCACGTCTCTCGCCGACTTTGTTTTGAGTGTTTCCTTGCATGTGTCGCTGCGGACTGCATGCTGGGATATATCCCAACGAATAATACGAGCTAGAGGCTTGGCTCGACGAGCCGAGCTGGTGAGAAGGCGGGCTTGTGCCTCGTCCATTTAGGCATGCCGCCTGAGCCGGGGCGAGCCGGTACGGCTTGTCTTTGTCTGCCGGTTTCACCCGGATCTGGCATTCGCGCAAGCCGGAAGCTGGATCTGCTGGATGGATCTGGGTCGAATCGAATCTATACGTTTCCGCATCCAGACAAGCCGGAAGCTGCCTGATTGATTCTGAATGACAGGCGAGTTGATGAACCGGCCGGCGGGTCGATTTGTGACAAGTTGGCGAAGTGGAATCGCTTTGCTCGACCTATCGATGGGCCGAGGTGATGACCACCGGTATTGGCTCGGGCCAGTGCCCATGCGTACCATGAGCAGCGGCTTTGTCACTTTCTGGGTGAGGTGAAGCGTCAAATAATATTTCACTGCCCCACCATTGCGTTATTCAGGTGAGAGGTTGAGTGCGTGCGTGCGTGTGTGCTTACAACAATACAATCATACCACTGCGCCTTGAACCCAACTGCGTCCTATATTTGGCTTGCTGGACAAACCAGATCAGGTTCGGCTCGAACTACAGTAGTTCGCCTGGTTCGGCGCCAGACCCCTGAGCCCTCATCAATCCAAACCCGTTGAGCATTCATCGGCATTGAGAATCCTCGAGTTACAACCTCGGCTTGGTTTGGACCACCTCGAGCGCATTGAGTGAGAAATGGTCGACTACAAACAGGATCCGGTGCGAAGCAGAGCTGCGGAATTTTGACTTACAGTTCCCCGCATGTTTCCCGCATGTTTCCCCTCCCTTCATGGCATTTCGTGGCATGTCCTGCAGGGCGGTTTTTGAGCGGCGAATGGGGTGCACACTATCAGAATCCCAACCACTAGACCATTGGGATAAAAGGGCTTGTTTCAGTAGCGGGTCAGTGCGCCCATAACCCCCCAGGCAAACGCGCATGTAACCCCCCCTAGGATCGATCGGGGATCTCACAGTATAGCTCTACTGACACCCCCCCACACTGGGAGGCCCAGGACTGAGCACAGTGGCAACGGCCAACATGTGCATACACCGGGATTCGAACCCGAGACCGCTCTGATACCATGTCAGAATCCCAACCACTAGACCATTGGGATAAGAGGGCTTGTTTCAGTAGCGGGTCAGTGCGCCCATAACCCCCCAGGCAAACGCGCCTGTAACCCCCCCTAGGATCGATCGGGGATCTCAAAGTGTAGCTCTACTTACACACACCGGGGGACATGCAGGAGAGGCCTGCCCCACCCGCAGACTGGTACATGGACATGTGCTTCTGGTTCGACGAGCAGGTCCCCTTCCCCTTGGTTGAGAACAGCACGACTTGCTCCGATGGCCGCCTGCACCCGTCGTACGGGCCGGAGCTGACGCGCATGAAGATCACGGGTGCAGCCATCCTCACCATGCCCTATTTTCTAAACAATGGCTATCCCGGCATGGGTGAGCGAGCGGGTGCAGAGGCGTATGATTGACTGCATGAGGAGTGGGCACTCCTCTTCCCAAGCATGTTGGCATGTGTCTCTCCTTGGTGTTCTCTGCATCCCTCTCTCACTCCTGTCCCTCGCGCTTTCTCGTTGCTTTCTGTGTTTGTGTCTCGCCCTCGCTTCCCCATCTCCCAATTTCACCTCTTTCCATTTGGTTGTCCATTTCATCTCATGTCCACTCTCTTTCTCCTCTCATGCTCCAGCCATGATGTTCCCGATCTTCAAGGGCAACGTGACGGCAGCAACGCCGTGGGCAGAGAGGCAGGCAGTGATCATGGGTTATGGCGGTGTCGGTGGACTTTGATCGTCTCGCCGAATCCATCATTCTTGAAGTGCTCCGACAAGGTGTGCAGTGCGGTTGGCCGTGGTGACAATGAGCAAGCTGTACAGTAATTACCAACACCAATCGTGACTTGATTTTTTCAGTAATGTTGTGGGGGGGGGATTGGTACCGTTTCAGGAACTAGGCTGTTAGTGTTTCCGCACAACGAAGTACTCAGTAGGGCACGAGAATTTTCACTGATGAGATTCAAAGGCGCCCACCACCTTCCCTTCTTGTGTTCCCCTAGTCCATTCGCGTCCACGTTTCCACCGACTTAGGGATGGCTTAAGAATGGCATTTCCATTCATTGAGTTGTATGTCATGCAAGTTGCCTAGATGCTGGTTGCCTGCGCTTCGTGCTGCTCCCGTCACACGCTTGTTGCGCTGTGCTAACCAAAGCAGAGCGTGCCCCTCGTGCTGCTGCACTGCAGGCGTGGAGCGTTCCCTTGAGGTCTATGACGTCAACCCCATGGATGGTCCGCGCCTGCTGTACGGGATGGGGGGCTTGGACGTGCCTCAAGGCGACCCCTTGCAAGTGGCTAAGATCATTCCGCCCTCGAACAAAACCATGTTGCAGCCGCAGCGCCACAAGTCAGTGCAGCAGATCAATCTCACCGACATATCAAGAACATACCAGCTCTGGTGCCGGTGAGTTGCTTCCAGGCATACACTGTCGTTTCTCCCAAACGGCTCCCCTATGGCAAGTATTCTGGTGTGCTCTACTTGTCCAGTCCGTAAATCTTGTTTCTCTCCCTTCTCACCTCACAGCGATTCCTCTTCCCCCTCACAACCCTACCTCTCACAACCCTACCGCTCACAACCCTACCGCTCACAACCCTACCGCTCACAACCCTACCGCTCACAACCCTACCGCTCACAACCCTCCCGCTCAAAACCCTCTCGCTCACAACCCTCCCGCTCACAACCCTCCCGCTCACAACCCTCCCACTCACAACCCTCCCACTCACAACCCTCCCGCTCTGAACCCTCTTGCTCACAACCCTCCTCACAACTACCAATTGATCACGGAGCTACCAGCGCTGGCGGTGCCAGTGAGTCGCTTCTAGGGACGCGCTGCTCTTCCATTATAACCGCTCCTTTCAACTTCCCCTTTCTCGCCGTCTCCCTTTGATGACGGCTCGTCGTGTCAATCCTATGTGACAGAGCTTCTTTAGGCGAATCAAAACCACTTTTTGCCCATGTTGCACCTAATGCACTTCCAGTCTTTCAAGACCCAATGGAATGCACTCGATATGGAATGCACTTAATAAGGGCACTCAGATGGAATGCACTCAATATGGAATGCACTCAATATGGAATATGCTCAATATGGAATGCACTCGATATGGAATGCGTCCTATTCAATCAACATCCATTCCATCTGCTCCCATTGCCCCTAATTCGCCTCCCCTAACCCCTAGCTTTCATGGCTCGGACGAAGCCCACAGCATGTCTGCTGTGTTCCTGGGGGTGATCATCCTTGTGGTGGCGGCACTGCTGGCTGCCATTGGCGTGAGCGTGATGATCAACATGCGGAGGCTGCGCGAGAATACTATTTCTATGGCGATTGTGAAGGAGAAGGCGGAGGTGGCGGAGCGCAACAAGGGTGCACACATCGCCAACACATTGCTTGAGCTGCGCACCCCAATCTTTGGCATGGAAGGTTCGTGGCAATAAGGTGCATGGGTGACTACGAGTGGGCAGGAGTGGGCATGATGAGTGGCCATGAGTGCCCATGAGGGGCCTGAGTTTCCTGCGAGAAAGAGCCGTCTCAAAACGTCAAGCAAAGAGTTTTCTTCCTTTCGATGTCTCCTTGTTCTGAAGGTTGTAATCCCGTTGGTGAAGTAAGATCCACTCAGCCGATACAATCACAATCATTCACTGCTTTGTGCTCATGTTAACGCGATCTGTGAGTCTTCACATTCTAAAATCTGAATGCTGCTGTGAGAATTCTAATCACTTCACACAGATCGCCTATTTCTGCTTGCGTTTCTCATGTTGGCCTGATTTTCCTGCGTGTGCATGTGGGTGGGTGCGTTTTCAGTCACATGGCATGTGGATGGGGATGTGTCCAGTGTGCTAGTGGGGGACTACTTGTGCCTGCAGCAAGTGGTCGACAAAATAGTCGGTGAGTAGATTGTCAAAATATTTGCACTGGGGATCCCCGATTGATCCTAGAGAAGAGCTACAGACATGATTGCTTTGGGAATTATGGGCACACTCACCCGCTACTTTACAGACCCTTATCCCAATGGTGTAGTGATTGAGATTCTGACATGGTATCAGAGCAAAAATCTTGAGTTCGAGTTCCCATGTGCACACATGTTGGCGCCCCATGTGTCCTTGCCGCTGTGCCGTGCCTTAGAACATTTCAGTGAATGGGTGTAAGAAGACGTGCACTAGGGATCATATGGAAGGGTTACAAGCACGCTTGCATGGGGGGTTATGGGTGCACTCATTTGCTACTTAACAAGCCATTTTATCCCAGCAGTGTAGTGGCTGAGATTCTAACATGGAACAGCCCAATTATTATTCAATGGCCAGCTCTAGGTGTGGATAAGGTTGGATGGGTTTGCTTGCACATGAGGATGAGGCGAGTTGAGTCGGCCCCCGATTGAGTTGATTAGAGTTGAGCCAACGTTGACCCTCGCCCAACTCGACACATTTTGCTCAACTCGACAGTCCACGTTTTGGCCAACTTGACAGTCCACGTTTTGGCCAACTCGACAGTCTACATTTTGCCCAGCTCGACAGTCCACGTTTTGGCCAACTCGACAATCCACATTTTGCCCAACTCGACAGTCCACGTTTTGGCCAACTCGACAGTCCACATTCTGCCCAACTCTACAGTCCACGTTTTGGCCAACTCGACAGTCCACATTTTGCCTTGAGCCATGGCTGACTCGCGGGAAGGGTTTTTGTGCAAGAGTAGTCAATGTTTGATTCTGATCTGAAGTCCACTACCTAAGTTTCACAAGAAACTCCTTTCGTAATGAGGCGCCATTAGCGCCACTCACGTCCAGGTTTCTGGCTCGCAAGAGTGGTTGGAACTGAGACTCAACAAAGCACTAGAGTTTACTTGAGCTGCCCACACATGGTGCCCACATCTACCCGAGCCACCATTGATTAGGCTCGCTTACGAGGTATCCAACACCCAGTCGCACAGTAGGCATGAGCATAGGTCAATTCCAGCCTGTTTGTTTCAAGGCATAACGAGCCAGCAAGGCAGGCTGACGAGCCGAGCCAGCAGCTGACTCGACCTGTGTCTCGTACTTTGTAGGCGAGCCCATCAAACCGTAACGAGCGAATTTTTGTGGTCTGAACGAATTTCTCTCCTTTGGTCTGAACAGACTCCCGAAATTCCCCTCTGTGAGCTGACAAATTGGACTTCTGATGCACTACACCCCATTCACCTTCACTTCACCATTCTCCACTATTCGTTCTGCGAACTGCCCCCCCCCAGACAACGCCATAAATTTCACAGCCAGCGGAAGCGTGTGTGTGCGGCTGCAGTGCCTTCCCCCGTACACCCACATCCTCACCCACCTGCTCTCCCTCGGCTGCTTCCTCGCTCAACCCACCCCCGGCTGCTCCTTGCCTGCTGCTGCTGCTGCTGCTGCTGCTGCTGACAACCTTGATGCTGCCGCTGCTGTTGTTACCACTGCTGATGTTGCCAGTGCGGCTGTGCATCGGAACGAAGTGGGAGAACCACTTCTTAAGATGTCGTTCTGGGAGCAGGTGGGGCAGCAAGGGCTGGCGAGGGCGGTGACGGGCGCATGCAATAAACGGGTGCTCCAGAGAAGCTTGTCTGTGCAGTGCCTTGGGTGCTACTGGCGCATGCCCCAGGTGCAGGAGGGGGGGCCAGAGCAGGAGGAGAATGAGGGGAAGGGGGAGAGCGAGGGGAAGGGGGAGAGAGGAGGGGGAGGAGAGGGAGGAGGGGGAGGAGAGGGTAAGAGTGTGGGGCGAGAGGGTGGTGGGAGGCGGAAGCAGAGGCAAGAGGGTGTGCATTGAGTTGAGTGAAGGCAGGGGTAGTGCTGCATCCTTGGGTGCGGGAGATGAGGAGGAGGGTGGGCGTAGGGGAGTGGGGACATGTCCTATTGTGCAGGAACAAGAGCGCATGTGGAGGATGCTGTGAGTGAAGCAGGGAGGACAGCACCACGGGGTGGTGGTGTGGGCTGGTGGAGGGGAGCAGTGGAGACGTGGTGGTGCGGGCGGGGTAGAGGAGAGTGCACAGGGGTGGAGGAGGATGCTGAGAGGCAGTGTGTGGTGCTGCTGACATGAGAGGACACGGGGTGTGGCATCGAAGAGGAGGAGCAGCGCGACGTGTTTCAGGCGTTCATGCAGGTGAGCCCTGCCCCTCATGCAGGTGAGCTCTGGGTATGTGCGTAGAGGCACTAAGGCGTTCATGCAGGTGAGCTCTGCCCCTTATGCTGCTGATGTCATGCGGCTGATGCAGGTGAAGCAAGCAGTGCACTCGAAGCAAGGATGCAAGGTAAAAGCAATGTTTGACCTCACACAATCATCGGCTGAGTATCGCGGCCTTCCATCCACGTGCTAGTCTTTAGCACACTGACTGCTTGCATTCTCGTGCGTCTCACACCGCCCATCCACCCATTCAGATCCGAAAGCACGGAGGCAGCGGCATGAGCCTGCACTTGTGTCGCCAGCTTGTGAGTCTCCTCTGGCAGCCAGTCGGCCTTTTTTGTCAGCTGGTGGTTTCTTTTTTTGGGGGGGGCAGCTGATGTTTTTTTTTGGGCAGCTGGTGAGTTGTTTGTTTCTACAGTTGCTAGGTCCTTCAACACTTGATGTGTTTTTTGCTTCCAACTCTCCCTCTATCTCATACCTCTGCCACATTCACCCACATTCACCCACATTCACCCACATTCACCCACATTCACCCACATTCACCCTCATTCACACTCATTCACCTCATACCTGGTGGTGTATCACACTCACAAACAACCATACACCCCCAACACCTCCTCCCCGTGGTAGGTATCGCTCATGGGTGGCAGCATTGGGTTGCTCAGCACAGAGGGTCACGGCACCACTCTGCATGTCGCTCTGCCCATGCCTGTTGCGCTTGCCACTGCCGCTGCCACTGCCGCTGCTGCTGCAGCTGACGAAGGTGACTCTTCTCTAGCCAGCGCCGATGTTTTTGAGCCAGCGACCACTTGTGCTGTTTCTTCCTCTGCTGCTGGCGACGAAACAAAGGGCGTGAAGACGAAGAGTGCGAGGGATAGCTTGAAGGAGTTGCTCCAGGGCAAGGCGATTCTGGTGAGTTGCAAGGCAATGCGTTCGGAGACGACCCAATCCAGACCAGGACACCGATTCTCCACCACGCAATGCAGACTAGCCTCAGCACGCTTCCACTTCTTCCTGTTTGTCACTCCTCACCAACACTTCCCCAACCTACCCCTTGGTCTCCTCGCCACACTCCCGGCAACCCACTTCTATCGTCCCCTCGCCTCACCACACTGTGACAACGTGCATGTCATCGCTGTCCGTCCGTTCTGAGAAGAAGTGAACGAGAATGAATGAACTATGAATGAAGTGAGTACAAATATGAAACCCTAATTGGGTTGTACCCCCTATGGGATACCCCACTATAGCCTACACAAATAAGTAAGCTATAATGTTCTGACACACCCCCATAGGCAAAGTGGGGGAGAACAAGGGGTCACAAGACCAGTCAAGCAAAGCAAAGCAAAGCTCAGGGTGGATCACAAAGTCACCACACATTCCGAGCGCAAGGTCAAGGGCCGCAAGGCCAGTTCGCATGCAAGATCATATATAGAGATATACAAGAGTCAAGCAAGCAAGAGCAAGAGTATATATAGGTCAAGGTACAAGCAAGGTCAAGAAGTGAGCAAGTGAGGCAAGACAGGCACAAGACCCAGCTGCGTGCAGCAACGCTGATGATCACAAGGCGCAAGTGCCTTGGTGAAGACATCAGCAGTGTTGGCCTCAGAGGCCACGTACGCAAGTCGCAACTGTCCACGCTGCTGTAGCTCACGAGCAAGAAAGTAGCGGAGAGCAATGTGCTTTGTCCTGTGCTCCAGTCGCTGCTCTCGACACAAGGCCAGCATGGCCTTGTTGTCTACGTACAGGACTGGAGGAGAACAAGGCGGCTCTCCAAGGTCGGTTAGCAGGTAGGTGAGCCAGCAAAGCTCCTGAGCAGCCATAGCCCCGGCGTAGATCTCAGCCTCACAACTGGAGCCGAGAACAGAAGACGAGCGAGTAGCCCGCCACGAAACAGAGCCGGAACCATGGCCGAAGGTGTAACCCTGTGACGACCGCTGCGTAGCCTGGTCGTCAGCCCAAGAAGCGTCCGCGTGCCCAGTGAGGACCACTGGACTGCGCCCTCCAAGCACTAGCCCCATGCCCGACGTACTGCACAAGTAGCGCAACACCCTCTTCGCTGCAGCCATGTGCTCTGGTCGGTGTCTCCCAGGAGCAACATAGCGCGCGAGAATGCTGAGAGGGTATGCAAGGTCAGGTCGTGTGCAGGTCATCAGGTACATGAGGCAGCCAACAAGCTCTGCATACGGGCCACTCGACTCTATGGACTCATCCGAAGGCAGAGCTGAGAGCGAGTGGCGAGTAGGCAGAAGAGTGGCCTGAGGCGAGGAGTACGTGAAGCCGAAGCGCTGAAGGACCTGCTGCACCATGTGTGACTGAGTCAGGGTAATGGTGCGGCGTGCTCTGTCCCGGGTGATCTGCAAGCCAAGGTAGCTGCGCAGTTCACCCAGGTCAGTGCACGTGTGTCTCTTCTGCAGCTCGGACTTCACGTAGGCGGGTCCAGCAGTGTCCGCTGTGGCAAAGACCAAGTCGTCGACGTACACGAGGATGTAGAACGGCGGCAGAGAGGTGTCGGTGCGCAGAAACAGCGACGGGTCAGCAGTAGAAGGAGCAAACCCAAGTGCCGCAAGCGTAGTCCTCAGTGTGTCGTGCCACTCACGTGGCGCCTGGCGGAGACCGTAGACTGGACGCCGGAGACTCCACTGGGTACCAGGAGGAAAAGACCCAGTGAATCCAGGTGGGCGACGCAGCCAGATCTCCTCGTGCAGGCTGCCCTGCAAGAAAGCTGTGCTGAAGTCGAGAGGGTGCAGCTCGTAGTCGCGGTGAGCAGCAAC